GTGTACAAATAATGCCAATACGATTTCAAACAAATACAGAGGGGTTATAATTAAAGTTCTACTTTGAAATGGTCATAAAAGAAATAACGTGCCATTAATATATCGTGTAAATTATACAAACTTGAAACTATTGGACCAAATGTTGTCAAACATGGCAATCTTGCAAAGGACGTCATGGGAATTTATTTTCCGCAATAAATAAATAAATAAATAACGTTCAAAAAGTCACTCCCAGGGGGGGGGAATGGCACTGTGTGCAATATTGTTAAACGAAAAAGACATGAAGACATCGGTTTAAAATATCTTTAATTGTTTCTGAAATGTGTTACAAAACATGTTCAGTGTGGCGTCCACCATTTTCCGAAAGTATAAATCATTCGCATAAATCATTTGCTTCTTCTGCGTAAGCCAATTAATGCAGTTCTATAGTCTTTGTAGAAGATAACTTCTTCAAAAAACCTATGCCGTTTAGTTGATGATGAATGGGGATATCTGGTGTTTCCCTGTAATTAACAGGTGTTGTCTCACAGTCATCATTATTTAGATTTATCTTAATTTTAATTAATAATAACCAAATTAATTAAATTTTTTATATTTCAGCCAAAAATAAAGTAAATAATAATAAAAAATATATAAAAATATGCAATATGCACAAAATGCAGCAAAACAAAATTTATCTTCCCTAAAAAGCCCATTCTCATTTGCGTACGACTTATCAGCCGAGGTATTAATTAAAAAACTCAAAAACGCTAATTTTCGCCATCATTTTATCCGAGTGGCAGCAGTCTTGCACGCTGGAAATTAAAATCTGCTTTTTTTCAAGTGTTTCTACTGCTTGCTTTTAAATCGTAGTGCGTGTTAGTAAAAAACCTGATGTGTACACCACGACTTCCTTGTACGGGAATATTAAATTATATGCATTTTTTCTTGCATTTTATTTAAACTTATCAGATTTAATTAAACCTACTTCGCCGACAGCGCATAAACCACGATAGAATAAATACATTCTTTAAAATTTACTTTGTTTACCATAGCGACACTCTGGCGCTAGGTTTACTTAACAGTCTTAAATTTCGTTCATATTATTTAACTCAGAATGCACAAAATGTTATATCATATTGAATAAATTATCCTAATCGTTCCCACATGTTCTATTCAAATACTTATAATAAAGCTAGAAACGATGTATTAAAAGAAATTAAGCAAACAAATCAAAAAAAGGAACAGTTTTTTCACAGACGATTGAGTATTTCTCATTTAATTAATTCAGTTCTCACTTCGCTAGAAGGCAAAAATACATAAAAACTCAAAATATCTATATTAAAAATTACGAAGTAAATTTCAAACGCTTATTTTCTCGAAAAAATTCCAGAAAGAATTAAGCATGATTTAATTGGCAATATTAAATGAATGCGTTATCTTTGTTGTTGCGAAGCTAAGTTTCTTGAAAGATTGTTAAGTTTCTTGAAAGATAAGTTTCTTTTAAGAAGACTGGCAACAAATCCACTAGTCTCCTGTTTCAAATGTAAACATCAACGGCCGCCATTAAAAACAGGCTTAGCGGCAATTAAACAACTTTAAAATTGCTGATAATTCTAAAAATATTGTAAACAGATTTACTAAAGGCATAAAATCCTTAACCGGATTTTATAACATAAATAAAAAGAGTGCATTTGTGGTTAAGGATTTTATGCCGGTTAAGGATTAATTCAATCATTTTTAAAGCAAAAAATGTACAATTTACAAACATATAAGAGTAAAGAAACTGAGATCACTGAGCCGGGTAACAGAGTGGATATATTTATAAATATATTTATGCACGTTTGGTGCGGCCGATTACAACCAAAATACGAGGTGCACATCTACATGTTATAGCAGTCCTATATACACAATTTCAACGTTCTTTGAGGCTACTCCTTTTTGAGTTATGCGAGATACGTACGTACGCACGTACGTGCATACGTTCGTACAGACGCCACGAAAAATTCTCTTCCGAATTAATTTTAAAGCAGTTTTATAATTTTTTTTTGCAGGAAAAGAGTATTTTATTCTGTCCTTACGTACAAATATCACGCAAAAACATCGTTAAATTGCATTCGACAGCGTTCAAAATGGATATTTTCGTTGAAGTATGCTGCCTGAAACTTTTCGCAATTACAATACTTCCTTTTTACTTCGTACAAGGAAGTAAAAATTTGTAACTTTACAAAATATGAAATAAAAATTGCATTGCCAAAACTTAAATATATTATTCCCGATTCAAAAAATTCGTGAGAAGCCGTTGTGACTGTTTCCATCTCCGTAGGACTTTAATCAGCCGAGATATTAATTAAAAACTCTGAAAACACTAATTTTCGCACACATTTTTCCGACTGGCAACAGTCTCACGCGTTGGTGAGAAAACCGCGTTATTTCGAAAAGTGTTGCCACTGCTCGCTTTCAAATCGTAGAGTTGGCTAATAAAAAATTTGTAAGTTTTACAAAATATGAAATAAAAATAACATTGGCAAACATTAAACATATTATTAAAAAAGTCATATTCTGTAGTTGATGAAAGCAAGCGATTGCATATGACGTCACTGTATATCAAAAATTGTTCTTTAATGTTAGCATTTTAAATAAATAGCTGCTGTTGGCAACTTTTTTGTTTCAGGTTAGTATAATTTATACGATGTATTAATGGCACGTTAATTCTTTTATTGATATTGAGGACATGTTGTTATATTACATTAAATTTAAATCATCTCGTCATTAACCTGAAGTGTCAAAAGTTTTTTCCTGGTTCGGCAATTAAACAAATATTTAGGAATTGGTTGTTGCTTGAAAAGAATGAACTATTTTCTTTCTCACTGCAAAGTTTTCATACATTTGCTTTTCAGAGGTACATAGAACTTACAAACTTTTCTATGGCTGTAGCCCGCTAATCTAGCAAGCTTATGCGCTAGATTAATTTTATAACTTCTTTAGTTTTAAAATTTCTTTTTTAAATATTTTTATAAAACTTTGAATTCTATAGAGTAAAATATATATAATAAAATATATTTAAAAGTCTTTCTAAATTATAATGTTTTTAAAACTAAACGCACTAAAATTAAAAAATATTTTTTATCCATTGTAAAGTTATTAATTCATGTAAACAAAATCGGGTGCTACTTTGGTAGACGGTTGCACGGGTTTTTGGCGATTTACAATGGCGCAATTGTTGGCGCGGTTTTTACAGTCGTCAGCCATCTTGAAAAATGCTGTTTTTACGTAGTTCACGCATAGTAAAATATTCGAAACTTTAAAAAAATAAATATCGTTAAAAATAATGGATTAAGTTTTTGTTGAAAACGTGTTTTTTAACATGGCTGGGAAATATAAATAAATACATTTACTAAGAGTATAAAAGGCTAAAGTAAGGTTAAATTATTACTTTCATATAATAGAATAAAAACACCGCTATTAAAAACATTGCACCAACATTTAATTGGAATAAAATATTACTTAAATTGAGTATTGAATTAAAAACATCATACCAACGTTTAAAGAATTAAAATTTTTCAATTACTTATATTCAATTCCTTTAAAATAAGTTTTATAGGATATAATCATTTAACATTAAAACATATGTGGCAATAAATATCTCAGGAATTTTTTAAAACAGTGTATTAATTTTTCAATAAAAATTGAAGTATATAATTATAAAGTTAAAAAAAAAAATATGTACTTACATTTTTTAAAGTATTTTACCTGTCGTATATTGATAAGTACCAGAAAAAAAAAAAAAGATCTTCATCTGTGATCCACAACTCTCGCACTTCACTGAAGAAGCAATTAGCGGGGTTTCCTCCAAAAATTAAAAGTAAATTTCCTCTGACCCTTGTAACAATAAATAAATCTTTGATGAGGAAAGCCAGGTTGGCCAAAATAAGGTCTCAAACGGCAATTTTTTTATTCCGATACCAATAATTCTTGGTAATTACCAATAACATCATTCATTTTCGAAACGGACACATCCCTTCGCTTTGAAATCTGAGAAATTCGAAGAGATGTATAATAAAATTTTAAAATGGCGCGGTAATGCACAAATATTCAGTATCCAATCAGGGAGCTGATTTAAATTTATAGATATTAAAACTAATTACTTTTAAAATAATGTGACGTCATTCATTACATCATTCACTACATCCACAACATAAAATTCCATAAAATATCATAAACAATAAAATTTTTATTTCAAATAAAAATGCAAATTTAAATTCATTTTTATTATTTAGAAGTCATAAATAATATTTAAAACACGGAATTTATGCATAATAAAAGGCATTATTTTTTAAATAAAATGACAACAAAGTATCGGTTACCATAAATAACTTGTCCAGCAATGGGTTTACAGTTATAAGTCAGTCGTATCACTCGCCAAAAAAATCGCCAAAATCCGTGCAACCGTCTACCAAAGTAGCACTATGCATTTAACTATATTTACATATGAATTACCTAGAAACTTGCAAACGTTGATAAGTTAAAGGAGATGAAACCATTTAACGAGTTATACGTAGTGCGTCTCATCAGGTTGGTTTATCCAAACTATGCTGAATATCCTTTCGCGTAAAGAGTTTAAAATTTTCCCCGATTTTATTCCGACATTGTATTTTAAACTGAATTTTCAGCTGAACGCAAACTGAGCGTGTCAAGGGAAAAGTGAATATTTGTTTACATTAGAAATAATCTCTTTTTGAAATGTTTTACAATAATTTATAATTTCTTTAATAATAATTATAAATTACAATTTATAATACCTAGAACAGCGGTCATTTCGTATGATCGCCGGGCTTTATAGTGATACTATATAAACTAGCAACTTCTCAAATAGAAGCATCAGATTACAAATTAACACTAATTTATCTAAATTCAGTGAATGAATGATTTCATATTATCATAGTAGTAAAATCACATAAGTCATGCATGAAATTACCAATAATATAATATAAAAATTATTATCATATTTATATACTTACTCTTTCTTTTAAGCAAGAAGATAATTTGCAAAATTGTTTTCTCTAAGAGACATTTTGAGTTTCATTAGATACCACACTAATCGAGCTTCCAATTGAAGAACTGGATTCTTTCATATTTCCATTTAACAAAGGGAAGTACTTTTCCCAGTTGTCGCAGATCTTCACACGATCTCGCAGTTCTTTATGTTCATCATTTTCGTCTTGTTTCATAACATTACCAAAAGTTTCTTTTGTCAAACGGTGCAAATCTCTCATTGCTGTAATAGCATCTTCATCTGCGATCAGTTGTAGAATCTCGTTCACTAATGAAGATGGCACGTCTTCTGGATCCAAGAGCTGTCCCAGATTCTCCAGAATGGGACTCCCGTGAGCCAAGACATTTCGTAAGTTAATGCCGTTGAAGAGACTGGAAGATTTTTTCCACAAGCATCCCAATCTTTTGTTCCGAGTAATATTCATGCAATCGAAGAGAAGCGTTTCAATCGAAGCTTGAAATTTAGGATCTCGCATATATAGCTGAACAACTTTGTGCGTGGTGTATTGTTTAGTTTTCCAATTTCTGGCATTATCCCATAAATTACGTATGTCTGAATTAGCCTCTATTACTAAAGTCTTTAGATGGTGTATTCTGTCTAAAAGATTCGAACAAGCATCTCTATGCGCTGCCACTTGCTTGTTTCCTAATACCGCCACAGATAATTTCCTTTTATTTTCTGAAGAAAATGGTATCACATTACACAATGTTTCGAATTCCTTTCCTCCTATAGATTCACCATTGAATATTTGTTGTATGTAACTAATGGGTTCAATGGCAAATTTTAAAATATCCAATGCTCTTTTTGAATCAGTTTTATAAGATTTTCTTAACTTTTCACGTTTCTTGTTAGATAAAATAAGATTTTTAATTTCTGCATCTCTTTCTTCTTCACTTAACAAAATGCCTTTTTCCAACGAGTCTTGTAATTTATATTTGGAAGACTTCACACATTCTGGAATATCAGCCATTATTTGGTCTCGATCCTCTTTTGAATAATCATATATATTCCCTGCAATAATTTGTATGAATCGATGAATGTTACCTACATCGGTTTCCGTCTCATTTTCTTGAGAGTATAAATCACAGATAAACTTCTTTATATTTTTAACGAAATGATCAGGTGTTCTATGGACGTCATCATTTTTGCTTTTCATAATTTCTAGTAATCTCTTAGAATTGGAAAATTGGAAATGTTCAACTGTAAAATTTAGCAAATGCTCCAATGGCCATAAAATTTTATTTTTAGTTTCCTCTGGATCATTAATTTTTGATTCCAGTGCGTGAACAAGATTCTTAAAAAGCAGTTCATATTTCTCAATAAATTCCTGAAAAGAAACTGAATATTTTGCTTTTTGATCATCGAGTTCAGTTTCGAGCTTCAAGAAGGAATTAAAAAGTTCGTAATTGTACATGGGAGAGAGGTACAATAATCTCTGCGACTCTTCTCGTGCTGCTTTCACTAGTGTTTTGCTACGTTGAAATATGAATTCTTTAATTCTTATATTCTGAAGTTCATAAACTGGTTGGAAAAAATCATTTATTTTTCTGATTTCCGTCTGAATATTTGAAAAGAGATCAAAATTTTTCTCTGTGTTGAATTTAATCTCGGGTTCTTGATCGTTTAAATTACTTAATGCATTGCGAATCTTCCGAAGTGTGCTTGCAGTTTTAGAAGGTAAACAAGCAGAAAGCAGATGACAATAGGATTTAGCAGTTTTACCTTCTGTTTTAATACTTTCGCCTATTACTTGGAGAGCCCTTTCGATGACAAATACAGATTGGACATCATCCACTTCTATGCACAACGCAGTTTTAACATAATGTTTTAATCTTGCAATTAATAATTCATCTTCAATTTCCGGAAAACTCAGCAGGCTTTCGGTAACTTCACATTTAGGTAAACGCTCTCGGGCGTTCCACAGTTCCGCATCGGTCTCACGAAGAACTTCTATAAATCGTTTTATTACTTCTCTAAGTTGAAATCTTTCAAGACACGGAACTACGTATATGTTGCTACTGTTACCCTTTAACCATAATTTATCTTCATTTACTTTTTGGCTTAAAGAACCCTGTCTGCCACGAATAGAAGCCCTGGCTTTAACATTGGTGGTAAAATACTTGTTACTCAACACAGACAAAAAGAAAGCGGATTCTATTTCAGAATACTGAGCTATGTTTCCTAAATTTAACTTACTTTTCAAAAGAAAAATGTTATCAAAAAACAAAAGGGCAGATGTGAAATCTAGGTTATCGTAGAAATGCTTAAATGTTTTATAATTATCGAGGGGGTTAATCTCCTTCGTTTCATCAGCACAATCAGTTTCATCCGCGGGGTTGATATCAGCTACTGTTTGAATTTCACCTATCGACGTATCTTCGTCTACGACGAAGAAATTGTTATAAATCTCTAAAATTGATAAAACGGTCTCCTTTATCTTAGTAGCCTGAGAAACGAGAGTACTACCATTCATTTTAGACCTAATACCTCTAATGGTTTTAGTTACTGCTTTTAAAAAATTATTGAATAGAAGCATTTCTTGCAGTATAAAACTGAATTTTCGTTGATTCTCTCTCATTGCCGCAAAATCTTTGGATCGTGTTTGATCTGTTTTCATAACGGAATCAAGTTTATCAAGATAAGAAACAACATCGTTAGAAAACACATCGTTATCAAGACTTCTGTATGAACAATTTTCTTTCCCCCAGCATCCATTAGCAGCATAATCATACAATACATGAAGAAGATTCACGTCGGTAGTAAGCACGGCATAGTAAAGTGAAGAAAATCCCTCCGAATCGGCGATACGAGGATCCGTTTCGAATCCAGCTTCTGCAAGTTTCCAGGCGATGTATGGTGACCTGTACAATAAAGGAATAACAGATTTGAATTCGCTTTTCAAAAGTGTTGCGATGAAGACTTCCTCGGGATTTAATAAACGGCATAGTTTCTTAATAGTGGTACTGTCGATTTCGGCATTTTTTAATGTAACGTTTAAGGCAATTTTTTGCAGTTTAAAACCTAACTCTCTTTTCAGACCAAAACTAAAACGGAATCTGCGCCGGTTTTCAACAGTGGTAATCTGTGTCCCCGATTTAAACAGTGTTAATCTTTGTGGAATTTTCTCCGTAACGTCCATTTTTGGAGTATTTTTTGGATACATCTGGAGAGCTTCTTGTACGTTAGAGCATTGAAAATTTAGCAAACATACACAACAGTTTAGTAAACGTGAAGCCTTTTCTAATTTTTCGATATAAGTAGCCTTTAAGATATTATTTTCACGAAAAGTATTGTTAAGAATATTTTTAAAAGTATCCACAACAGTTTTAAAAGTTTTGTCATAAAAACATTTATGTTTGTTCCGAAATGGATTAAATCTTTTAATGGCTATTTTAATATCGAATATATTTTCTGCATTACCTGTTAATAATTCCAAACGCGTCTGGAGTTCCTCATCACCGCAATCGTCTGTTAGGAAGCTCATAACAATGCACCATTCTAAGCTATCTTTTGGTGGAACGCTTATTTCCCATTCTCCTAAATAACAGCCTATTTCTTGGTATTTGGATCTATCGAAATATGGAGTTAGGTCATGACGCTTCGGAGCCTCCATGGCAAACAGATATAACTTCCTTTAAACACGCTTGACCACTTTTACTTTAAATACAATATATCCTACAATCGTATATAAAAAGAGCCATATTTCAAATATAATCCTAAACAACATTCATCACTTCTAGTAGTCTGTTTTCGTTCAAAAGAAAGGATTAAAAAATTGTTTTTTGATTATTCTCGTTTATCTTATCGTAGTTTCTGAAACGAAACTACGATAAGATAAATGAGAAACGTTTAGACGTTCAAACTTCAGATTTAGATTGTTGAGAAACTCTGGAAAATATTATTCCTTCTACAATTAACTTCCTCAATATGTACAAAAATTTCACTCTGTAAATCAAGTAATTTAAATTGATTACAACTTAGTCGATACATTGCTCTAAAGAATAAGTCTAATTTAAATGATAGTTCTATATTAAACATTTATAATAGACACTCTGAATAACAGCTTTTAATATGTTTATTACATTTCAAGAATAATCAAGAAAATCAGATTTTGTTTGTTTGTTCATTTGTATGTCTGAGCATTTTAATTGAAATAATATGTATGGGATCAGTACTTACTATTCTTGATGTCTGTGAATTTACTTCGGAGATGGCTGCTGGTTCCATGTCTAGGAGTTGTTAATAAACTAGTCCAATTGATAGTTAATTTGAATATTTAATGAAAACACGAATAGTTACTACACACTATGACATGATGACATTCGTAGATGAAAGTACACTGAAGTGCCACTGAATTAGGGATAGCTAGTCAATAACGAGTTGGGCCTCCTCTGGCCTTTATAATGCCTGCCAAACGACGAAGCATAGATTCAATAAGTTCCTGGAATCATTCTACGGGAATGGCTTGCAAAAAAATCGAATAGAGCTGTCTATAATTTAGGAAAAGTCGCTAGTGTTGTGTGATGAGATTTCAAACCTTTCTCCAAAACGCCCGAAAGATGCTCAGTAGAACTTAAGTCAGAGCTTTAATTAGCGTATTTGTGACAGAGAAGTTAGAAAAATGCTCATCCAACCAGGCAGTAGCCAACCGGGTCCTGTGAGAGTTGAAGTTACCTTGCTGGGATATTCCATTTCCGTGTGAATGACAGGACAACATAAATAGATGAAGATGATCGCCCAGTAACTCTACGTACCGAATCATATTGAGGGAGGTTGGTACAACCCAACCTTGGGTTGGTACAACCGACAAAAGATCCCAAACACTGCCAAGAGAAAGCATCCCAGACCATGATTAAGCCAGCATGGCCTTGTACAGTTCCAATCTGCCATACAGGGTTTATGGCTTCATGAGTCTGACGCCATGTTCTCAGCCTCTCATCGGTATTACTAATTAGTAGGAATCGAAACTCGTCACTTCTTGCTTCTCTACATTTCAAGTCCACTAGAGTCTATTCTCTGTATTCTCTTGCCCAGGCAAGAAGTGCAGCTCGATGTCGTGCATTCAGCAAAGGTACTCTCGTGGGTCTACGGCTTCCGAAGTCCGTATGGTGAAGCGAGCGTTGCACGATCCTTTTACTGACGCCCTGGTTCAGCTGGGTGGTAATTTGAGCTAATCTTTGGCTTCGTTGACTATGTACAATACGGCTGAACCGCCTCACGCCACGCTTTTTGTAGGTTAATTGTCCTTTGCAATTTGCCCGATCGCTAGTTCTTTTTCCCACCATCCTTGTATTCTCGGTATATTCTTGACACTGTCGACCTTGAAAGTCCTAGCCCGCTGAGGATTTTGGGAATTGAATGGCCCTTTCGTCAAGTGCCTACTATCTGTTCGAGATTGAAAAGCTGTCTAAATCAGAAGTTTTACCCATACTAGTAACTGAAACGACTGATTAACAACAACCATAGTACTAGGTGTATGCGCATTTACCACAACGTCCTCACGTGAGCACAGATGCCGTGCAGTGCTGTAAAATTTGCATTTGCCATGTCTATCCCTAATTCAGTGGCACTTCAGTGTAAATGGAAGTTATTCACAGATGTTGAAAAGTTACCGTCTTTTACATAGAACGTCGTGTCATGGAAGTGTCTTTCATCTTAATGGCGGCATCGTCTGAATTTTTTCACAAGAAAAAAAGTTCTATCTGACAGCTTGCAATGCCATCTGACTGTTAATGACATCCTATATATGCAAGAATAATTTTATGCCTATGCAGACAACTTCCTAAAGATAATACATCCTCAACATTGATATCCAGTAGGAACTGCTTCAGATCGTGTTTTTGATCCTTTGTCTTTATTATTTAAGATACATATCATTTCATATATCAGTTCATTTCGGTCATATATCAGTTCAGTTATCCAGATATTTTTCCAAGACTGAGTAAAATTCTATTTGTTGTTAATTTACTTACAATTTTTCTGTTTCTTCTTTTAAATCCCCTCCTCTCATGATTGAAGTAAGATAAAAAGATAGCACACAGTTTTAAGAATCTGTGACATTTATTTTAGTGAATGTATATTGCACGTAGTTGACCTACAGTATTTGCCAAATATTAAAGTAATTGTTATAAAACAAAATTGCAAAAATACAATGACATATTAAATTTAACTGTAAGATAATTAAAATACTTTTCATATTACACTATGTTTAACCACATATAGTGAAGAGTACATATTATAAATCAAAATAGTCAAAGACAAATTGAATCCAGTTGAATGTAATCACTCTTATATTATGCATTTCTATAATATCGCTTCTGATGTTTTTGAAAACTCTGCTGATTTCCTAACGTAATTTGCATGTAAGAGCATCACGATTTTGGGTACTACTTTGGTAGACAATTGCACGGATTTTGGCGATTTTTGGCGAGCAATACGAGTTATGGCAAAGCCATTGCTGGACAAGTTATTTATAGTAACCGATACTTTGCTGTCATTTTATTTAAAAAATAATGCGTTTTATTATGCATTTTGGCCAACCTGGCTTTCCTAATCAAAGATTTATTTATTGTTACAAGGGTCAGAGGAAATTTATTTTTAATTTTTGGAGGAAACCTTGTTAATTGCTTCTTCAATGAAGTGCGAGAGATGTGGATCACAGATGAAAATCGTTTTTTTTCCTTGGTACTTATCAATATACGACAGGTAAAATACTTAAAAAAAAGTGTAAGTACATATTTTTCTTTTAATTTATCATTGTATACTTCAATTTTTATTAAAAAATTAATAAACTGAAAAATTAATTAAAAAAAAAAAAAAAAAAGACGCACCGAGAAGATATAAAGTAAATTGGACGCGAACTGATATGCATACAGGCTTCGACGGAAAATGCAAAATTTTACATTTTGGCTGAATGAATGAACGGTTGTCGCTACAGCCCATCTGCTCTGCGCAACTGGCAGGATATACAAGAGAAGAAATGACGACTCCAGGTCATAAATTCTTCACGAATTTCATTCCGTGTACTCTGGTAGACAGTAACTATGCTTCGCATACAGGTGCGCGAACGAGCTGCGCAGATGTCAGAATTTGAGAGATGTCGGGTAGTTGGGCTCAAAGAAGCCGGTTGGTTTTATCGGCGAATAGCTCGACATTTGAGCAGGAGCGATGCCACTATTAGATGATGTTGACAGGAATGCGTGAACCATGGCCGCACACAGCGTCAAGAAGTAAGCGGTAGGCCTAGAGAAACGACAGAACGTGAAGACCGAGCAATCGTCAGAGCGACACTCACAGCCCCAGATGCATCATTATCATTGATTGTACGTGCAACTAGTGCTTCAGTGACCGCAAGGACCATTCATAGACGGCTCACAGAAAGGGGGCTGAGATCACGGCGCCCCTTGCGCCAACAACCATTGACCTCTGCACAACGTCAAGCCCGTTTTCAGTGGTTTCGGGCTCATTCGCACTGGAATGTCACTGACTGGAGTAGAAGAGTCTTCAGTGATGAGTCCCGCTTTGAACTGAGCCCCGATGACCAGCGGTATCAAACCAACCTGACTGCCTTCCGGCAGACAGGCGGACAAACAGGAGTGATGGTCTGGGGTGCCATTTCATTTCATAGTAGGACCCCTTTGGTTGTCATCCATCGCAACCTTACAGCACAGTGGTACGTCGACGAAGTTCTAAAGCCTGTTCTGTTGCCCTTCATGTCATGCCACCGTAGGTTTACATTTCAGCAAGAAAATGCCCGCTTCCACACTGCTCATGTTTCTACTGCTTGCCTTAGTGCTTGCCGAACATTACCTTGGCCAGCAAGGTCACCGGATCTCTCTCCTACTGAGCACGTTTGGAGCATTATGGGCAGGGTCCTCCAACAGCTCGGGATGTTGATTATCTAAAGCGCCAGTTGCACAGAATTTGCCACGATATCCCTCAGGAGGACATCCGCAACCTCTATCAATCGATGCCAAGCCGAATAACTGCTTGCATAAACGCCAGAGGTGGACAAACGCGTTACTGACTTTTTCATTTTGTGAAGCTCTATCACTTCAATAAATCATCCAATTTTTCTCAAACTGTAATCATTTGTTTTTCTGTACATGTACATCACTTCTACCGATTTTCGTCCCATTCGGATAACTCCTTCTTGGTGCGTCGTTTTTTTGTCTAAGAGTGTACATATATATAATTTATTTACTAAAATATTGATTGTATTATCTCCCAATATAAATTTAGTAGAATGTATCAAAATATATATATATTGATATATTGAACGATCAAGCTAGATCATTCAATATATATATGTATATATATATATATTGAACGATCAAGCTAGATCATTCAATATATATATGTATATATATATAAATTATATATATTTGTAATAATAAAATTTCATAGTC